GTTATGTGATACCTCTATACGCTCAGTCTTACACACTACAGGGAGTACAAGCCAAACAAAGGATTAGTCTTTACAATCCATTGATAGGTCTCTACCATCGAGTTGGGTAGGAGTGATAAGGCCAGAGAATACCTCACTCAACCACTGCCCAGAAACCTAAAAGGCAGTCCTCCAAGCTCTGAGGGGCTAGTCAGATAGGCTCTCCAGCTGAAGGAAATTCTGAGGGCAATTGGGTGGTAACCATGTGGTAACAGGGCTCGGGCCCTGCCCAAGGAAATGGGCTGGCTGGAGCCACCAGACCCCAGTATCATGGCGACATTTCTCCTCCTCAGAATCGCCATGCAGCTCACCTCCTAAACCAGACCAGGCCAGCTCAAACAGGATTGTTAAGGTCCCATCGCCTATGTTAGGGTACCTGCTGGGCTTGGCTTCAGACATGCTCACATCAGCCCTCTCCACATGAATCTGGACAAGATTGAAGAAACTTGCCTCAGTTTCCTCCTCTGTAAACTTGGGCTAAAGCCACTTTCCTCACTGCACTCTTGGGAGACTGCATGTGGAGCTCTGGACCCTTGTCAATGAAGAGATCCCCAATAGTACAGACTCCCAGCTTCTGGCCACCAGTGTGGACAGCAGGCTCCTCTGAGGGAGTCCCCCCACCCTTTAGCCAGTTTTACTGTTGTCTGTCTCTGAAATGGGTCAGGAGACTTTGAGCTTCTCCTGCCCCTGCTCTCTCCCCAGTGAAGATGTGTGTGGCCAAGAGGCTGCTTGAAAGCCCAGAACACTGAAGCCGGGGAGCAAGGGTGGAGCAAACTGGGGCAAGGTGGGAGCTAGGGCAGCAGGATCTCTGCTGGGAGGAAGCCTCCCTCCCCCCACTTCCTTTCCACTGCTTTTCGACCCCCCACCAGGAAAGGCAACCAAGGACAGTGGGCTTGGAATCTTGCTTGGCTTTTGGAGCACAGATGCTAAATGGTGGGAGTGTTCAGGGTGTGGAGGGGTAGATCTGGGGGTACATGTGGCTAGGGAGACCAGAGAGAAGGAACAATAACACGAATGGACAATCTGTTGTTGTTGTTGTTTTTTTAATCCTTCCACTCATGGATGCAGCTTTGAGCAAGGACTCCATCTTTAAGGATCACAGAGAGTCAGAAGGGGATTTGGTTGCCTGGCCCTAGGGCAGTTGGCAGCAGAGGGGCGCCCCACAGTGACCTCGAACTCTCGGTGCCCAGGGCTTCCGGGCACACAGCACACCGGGTGCTCTAGAGGAGGCACAGGGGCGTCGCAGGCTTTTCCTTTCCTGAGCTCACGCCCTTCATGTCTGCACAGCTGGCCAGCCCGGGGCTGCACACCAGGAAGAAAATAAGGGTTTAGCGACCCCTCTCGGCAAGTCGGTGTCACAGCCACTGTGGTCCAAGGGGTGCCTGCTGGTGGGAGACAGTCTCCAGTTGTGCAAGTGAAGGAGCTCGTGGAAAATGAGGCTTCCTAGCAAATCACTCCACCAGCAACATTCTCCTGGTGCCTACGGTTGATTGACTCCTTCAGTTTCATCTTCAGTCGCTCTTGGATTAGTATCAGTGAATCTTCGAAGACATTAACCAAGAATCCTCTCTGTGCCTTGGAGCTAGGCAGAACCTGGGGTCCAGAGGGCAATCCAGGTCTTAGATGATGACATTATCTCAAGGCAGTCATTCATTTGTTCCTTCACAAATGTTCTGGGTTCGTCCATGGACCAAGTACAGGCTTTTGCATTCAAGAAACAATGGAAGACTAAAGAGCTGCTCCTCCTTTAATGAGGAGAAACTGCAGACCAGAAAAGCTGGGTGGGGCTGCTGAGGACACAGGTCAGGTAGGACTGGGAGGGGCTGGGACCTGGGGCTCCTCAAGTTGTCCTTCCCAGCCCAGGTTAGCCCACCTCCACCTGCTGTCAGCCAGGCCTCCCCAGAAACAGGGCAGGCCTTTAGCTCATTTGAGCTTTACTGAGATGCACCTGTCCCAGCAGGTCCCAGGCATGGGTGCCTCGGTCACTTGGCACCACCCGGCCTCTAGTCCCAGCTCACTTCCAGGATCCTCTTTCTCTTAGTAGCTCTCTGAGTGATGCCAGTGCCCTGCAGTTCGAGAACCGGGGCTCCGTGAGTGGTGCCTCCTTACGGAGCCCTGTAGTGCTGCAGAGAGGCCATTTTGAAGTAATAGGGAGCGCCTGGGGAGGTCCCTTCAGAAGGGAGAAGGTGGATCTTATTATCACGCTTGGAAGTACCTTGTGTTTAAATAAGCAGGTCGTGCAGGCCCGAAGCAGTGAGCTCACTTAGGAGGAAGTGGTGGAGAGGTCTCTGAGCTCTGGCGCTGCAGTAAGTTTTTGTTGGGCAAACAGATTTCAGACTGAAGGAGCGATCCGTGGATACACTGGCTAAGTAAGGTACCCGCCGGAAGGGTGAAGGCGGGCGGAGGGTGGGGGCAGAGTCACAGGCCAGGGTCCCAAGTCGTTGGAGTGAGAGAAGGCTTTTGGACCAGCCACTGCCCAGGGCTTCTCCTGCGCTCCTAGACCCCCAGTGGGATGGGGCCACCAGGGGACTTTGGGGTTTATGGACCCCCCAATGTGAATGCCAAGCTTTGAGAATAGGTGTACCCCAATAGGGAGAGGCTTTGTAGAGGACGGTTAAAAGGGTGATAGAGCCTGGGGTTAAGACTTGGGTTTATAAAGCTCCCCTTTCCCAGCCTACCTGTGGGAACTTGAGTGATTCACACCTCTCCCCTTTGCTTTTTGAGCTAGCACCCACTTTAATTTTCAGAACAGATGCCTGTCAATAAGCAATAGGCATGGCATTGTGGTGAGTACTGATAATTCAAGATACCCTCCACTCCTGGGGGTACTGGGGTGCATCTTTGCCTTCCTGTTCTTGGGGAACCAGTGGAGGGGGTACACCATCCTAGGATGTCTGCAGGGCCATAAGAGTTTGAGCAGAGAGTGAAGCTTAAGGCTTTATGACCTTTGCCCATTCAGAGGTCTTCCATTTTGCTTCATTTTCAAACACAGTAGCTGGGAAATCGGCAAAATGAGTCAAGGTAGTTGAAAGTATCAAGTTAGTTATAAGATAAATAATTCTGGGAACGTCATCCACGTCACGTCACGTCCTGCTTTTGAGCCTCTCAGCCACAAAGTGAGGCTGATGGTGGCTCTCACAGAAGAGTCACCTGTGCCTGCAAAGACCCCTCCCACCCCATCAGAGCCTGGCTCGGGGACACGCTCAGTCTCTGTCAGTTGCCAGTGATGACCTTCTGGTTTTGGAGGGCTCTGTGTCCCCCAAAGTGGCTCACCCCATCAGATTCATCCTGTGTATTTCATCCTGTGTATATTGAGGGACGGTGCTGAAGTCAGCGGACCGTGATACAGTATTTCCTTGACTGCTCCCACAGCAAGGTGGGCTCATAGCAGTTAGGATGAAATGACAGGGAGGCTGCAGGTAGGGGCCTGCTGGGCTGTCCATCACGAGGCTTCCTTAGTAGCTAAGTGGCCCAGATGAGAATGCGGGTCTGGATGTTACCTCTGCTGGGTCACCTGTGTACATGTGAATCGTTGGCTGTGTCCCAGTACAACGGTACTTACAAAACACCAGGTGAGTCCCTATTCTAGGACTGTGTTAAGTTCTCTTACAGATTTTTCTGTTAATTCTCTTGCTTCCAGGTAGAGTCATTTAAAAATAAGGAAGGAAATCCAGATTATTGCTCTTAACAACATTAGTTTCTTTAAAAACAAAACTAAACTCTGATTTCTTGCCTAATATTCTTGTCTGAAACCACAAGTATAATGTGAGATATTTAAGAAAGACAAGGGACAGACTTAACTGAGTTTCATGAGTTTGAGACTTACATGAGTAAGAGACGGACTTTTTTGGCTGAAAGATGTCTCACGTTAAATCACTTCATCGTATTAAATTATCTAAATAAAAGTAAAAATCTGTCAGTTCTCTCTTTCGCATCTAGAGATAAAATCAAGTGACTTCCTACCCTCAGGACCTATTAATGTAAGGTAAATATAAATTGCAGGACTGAATGTGCTTCCATTTTCTGGAAGAGTCATTGGGTGATTTTATGGGGCTGTTGGATTCTATTTGCTAAATACCGTTCTGGTTTTAAGTACAGATAACCTAATCAGAGGCCAGGTTTATCCATTGTTCTTCATATAAACATCATCAAATCTGATTACTATTTAATTTTAAAATGTGACTATTTTTTCTTCTCTGTAGGGCAGTATAAATAGAATTGGATTAGATAATATACTTGTTTTAAATATATGGTAGAGTTCCCTGTGAGACTGTGTAGGCCAGATACATTTTTTAGTGAGTGAATAGGTTCCTGGACCCAATTCAAAGTGGGTGTTTATGGAGTTTTCACAGCACTAACAACAGGCAGTTCTCAGGGGTGTGAGGAACTGTCTGATTAAAAACTAGACACAGCTATTGGCCTTGGGTATTCTTACCTGTGACTCCTTGCTGTCTGATTTTTGTTTGGTTGATTCTTTTCTTTTTTAAAAAAAGCTTTATTTATTTATGCACATAAGAACTGGGGTACAGGTCAGAGATTTGGGGATGAGAGGGTTCACCAGAAACAGAATGGGGAGCAGAACATGTGGAAATACACTGCTGAGGGGAGCAGTGGCGAGACAGAGAGGCCTGCTCACCCTGTGGGTCAGCTCCCTGGCTGGGGATTGTACCCTGCAGTGGCTGTGGATAGCTTCATAGTGCTGCGCCTTAACACTTTGCACCACCAAAGAGACCCCGTGGCTGATTATTTAAGGCTTTTAAAAAGGTGTTTCTAGGCTTTGCCCTTGAATGAGTATCCAACTCTTTCTGAACCAGTTTGGCCCAAGTTACGGATGTGGGAGAAGCCAGTGACCAGCCCAAGGTCGAGCCTGGGTCTGAGGGTCAGGGAGTATCTCCTTGGCTCCAGCACAGAATCTCTTCTTCCTTTGCAGCCTGCCTGCTGAAGCCAAGACAGATTTTCAGAGAATGAGTGACGCATCTGACACCTTCCCCACGCCCGGCGGCCAGCTGGGGGGCCAGGGCCTCAGAACCCAGAGCGTCCACACCCAGCTGATGGAGGCCATGCTGCACTTGAAGCAGACCATAGAGGAGCACCTCAGGCAGCAGACCCAGAGGTGTGGGCAGCAGGAGCTGGCGCTGGAAGAGCAGGGGCACAGCCAGGCTGCCCCAGAGCAGGAAGCCCTCCTGAGCCAGTTGATGTGTCAGGTGGTCAGCCTCCTCCAGTCTGGGGCCCCAGGTCTGCCCAGCTCACCCCTGGACTCTGGGGGTGACATCAGCGCTGAGCAGCAGGTCCCGGACCAAGCCGTCCACCAACTGAGTGATTTGGAAGCTGCATTTGTGACCTGTTGTCTTTCCAACCGGGGGATCGACATCTCCACGTTGTCTAGCTCCAGCTTGCAGGACTTCAGGGCCTACCTAGAAGACAAATACCACAAGCACAGGAACCCTTTGGTGAGGATGGGGGAAGACTCTAGGCCCTGGTGGGTGGGGTTTAAGGCCCTGTGCCCACTTCCTCTTCCCAGCAACATGGAGTAGACATTGTTGCCTTCTTATGGACAAGGCAGTGGGCACAGAAACAGGTGACATGCCAGGGGAATTGAAGGGCTGCGTCTGGGTTCTCCTCCCCACAGCACCTTTCCGTGCATCCCTGCTCTTACCCACTCAGTCAGTAGGATCATCGTAGTCGGTGAACTTGAACTCATGCCGTGATGATGATAGTAGCCGTTGTGGGGGTGAACACTGATACGTGTCCAGGAGCACCGGGACAGCCCTCACACGAAGGGTCTAGAGGCTGAGTCAGTCAGCCAGGTCATGCCGGGTTCCTCCAGGAAGGAGGAACCACATGTGGGAAGCTTTGGGAGGGGAAGGCTGAGAGTGGCTGGGAAAGGTGGCCAGCTGGCCAGAGTAGGGATGGGGGTGCTGTGACAAGAGGTGTGGATGGGTGGGTGTGGTGGTGTTGGACTCCTGCACCACCTAGGGGTGACACAGAGGGGCTCCCAGCAAGGGGGTTCTCAACAGCTCTCCAGCCAGAGGGTTAAGACACCTCTCTTCCCTTCGGCTCCTTCCTAGGTGATAGGTAGAAGGTAACTGTCTGATTGGGGGAACCAAGTGAGCCAGGTGGTCCCATTGGACTCCATGGGACCTAATTCCTCCTAGAGCTGGCGGGACCTTTCCATGGACAGAAAAGTGGCGTTGGGTGTGAGGTAGTTAAAGATCCAGACTGAGGTCCGGCAGATGTAGACCTGCCTGTTGCCATGTCGCGTGGCTACTGGGTTATCCAACCTTCCAAGATGCTCCCTTTAAGCCTGGGGTCATGATGGTGCCCTTTTCTCAGCAATGTGAGAATGGAATCAAATCGCATGAAGGCTGGAGTTCAGGGTCTGGTACAGAAGAATCTATGACTGCAGCTGTTTGTAATTAAACTGCTGTACCTATGTGAGTCTAAAGTAGGGACTGTGTAAGCTGTGAGAGTTTGGGTTAGAAGGAAACTTTCTAGCACCGACAGCTGTCAAATGTGGGTTGAAGTGCCTCCCAGGGCAGTGAGGTGTCCATTTCAACAAATCTGGAGTAAGAACTTAACTGGCATGTTTATAAAGGGGTCCGTGTAGGGTAGAGCAGGAGAACTAACTGACCTCCAATCCTTCGTCTACAGGGCTTCATTAACCTTGGTATCAGCGAGAACAAACTCTGCATTGATCTGATGATGGAAAGGGTAAGCCTCATTCCCAGCTGTGCACACTACCACCTTCAGGCCCAGCCCCCCTAGAATGTTCTTTAGAATGTGGTAGATACAGGTATCTACTAGATTTAGAAGTCTAGGAAAGGTGTCTTCCCTGGTGGCACAGAGATTAAAGTCCCAGCACCATCAAGCTACTGCCACACACTGAGTTTGATCCCCAGCCAGGGAGCTGACTCACATGGCGCAGCAGACCTCTTCTGTCTCACCTGCTGCTCTCCTAGGCAGTGTATTTCATTTAATACACCTGTTCTGCTTCCCACTCTGTCTCTGGTGAATCTGCCATCCCCCACACCTCTGGCCTACACCCCAGTTCTTGTATGCATGAATAAATAAATAAATCTTAAAAGAAGTAGTCTAGGAAAGGAAGTGTGGAAAATAACTTCTAGAATAGCACATCTAAGCTCACTTTCTTGCAAGTGTGTCCACAGATGTTCTCTGGATGGAAATGTGTAGGTAGGCCCCCAAGGGGCCTCTGACCTAAATGTAGGCTTGAGTCAAACACTCCCAGTGAATTATCTCCTTGTGTAATCTGTGCCAAGAAAATCGGGGCCTCCACTCATTTATGGAGGCTTGTCATTCATGAAGGGCTCCTTCACACTATACAGCATATATACCTATCCCTTTTCTGGAAGGTCCAGGAGGGCAATGCAGACACCCTCATATGTCCCAGGAATAGTGTAAAGCCTCTTGGGTTTCCCTGGTCTGCTATCCCTATGTTCTTCTTGTCAACAGTTGAGTCGGAAGGACATGAACTACATTGAGGAATCCCTGCTGCAGTATTCTGATTTGAGGGGGCAGCCTTTGTAAGTACCTCTAAATCTATGACTTTCTGACCCATAGGCACCTGGACCCTCATCCAGGGAAGGACTCCAGCCACCAGGTTCTTGGTTAGCTGCCAAACCTCATCAGGGGCAGGCCAGAGTTGTATAGCACTGTCCTAAGTTCTAGTTCAAACTCCAGGCTTATTGTTCGTATCACCCTGAGGTTGATACAAACCTCAGTCAGTAGCCCTGAACAATGAGGTTGGGGAATCTGATCTTTGGAAGAGGCTGGAGTTTAGGCCTGGAGTGAGGCAGGGCCCTGCAGATGTGAGAACCACGCTCTTCCTCTGGGTCTGTCTACAGCCTGCGGAAGGAGGTGGCCCGGTTCCTGACCTATTACTGCAAGACGCCCAGCCAGCTGGAGCCAGAAAATGTGAGTGAGTTTCCAGCCTTGCACCCTGGTGGGAGGTGTGGGGGCTGCATTCTTTAGGGACTGTGCATTTTCTAGAAGATAAGGGGAGAACAAGCAGAAACCCCCAGGGCCAGGGCAGAATAAAATTCTGTGGTGTCAGCTCAGGAGCTCCAGTATCTGTCTCCCCCAGGGTAGGGGGGCAGGAGTTAACCCTTCTTTTATGAGGATCGGTTTTTGACTTTCTCTTTGTGCTACCATCAGGTGGTGGTGCTAAATGGTTGCTGTGCCGTCTTCTCTGCGCTGTCCATGGTTCTGTGCGATCCAGGGGGTATGTCATGGGCTCTGCTTCCCCTTGGGGGAATGGTACCACATAGGCCAGAGACAAGGGCAGGAACATAGGCTCTGAGCCATAGGGAAGAAAAAACCCTTGAAGCAAGGACTTATCCTAAAGTGCTGGGACTTTCATACTGATTAGAACACCTTCCTACTAGTGTTGAAGGAATAGGGATCTGGATCCCTATTTGGCATGGAGGGAAAACACGTGACAGCCCCCCAGGAGGTATGGCCCAGTGGTGGTGACAGTGGGGTCATCTCACTAGCTGGACTTCAGAGCCCAACCCCAACACAAGACAGTCCTGGTGAACTGGGCCAGTTCATGTAGATTTCCTGGTTTTCTATCTCCAAAAAAAAAAAGGGGGGGGGCAATTAGTTCTAGAACAAATGAACAAGTAAGTCTGAAAGATCTGTTCTCAGTTTACCTCTTCATAATGCTTAGTCGAGATTCTCAGCTCTTGGGCCCTCCCTGGTGGTGCAGGAGTTAAAAAGCGCAGCACTGTGCACTGTCTGTAGCCACTGCAGCACAAGCTCAATCCCCAGCTGGAGAGGTGACCCACATGGCATGGCAGACCTCGCCTGTCTTGCCTGCTGCTCCCCTCAGCCGTGTACTTTGGTCAGTTTGCCTGTTCTGCTCCCCACTCTGTCTCTGGCGGATCCTCATACCACCTGCACCTCTGGCCTGTATCCTAGTTCTGCATAAATCAAAAAAATCCTAAAGATACTTAGCTCTTAATTAGCTCTGGCTGCTTGAGCAGAAGGCACCAAGTTAGCCACTCACAGCAATGGGTCCATCAGTGAGGCCAAGCAGATGGGAAGAAATGAGGATCTGAGATCCCCAAGCCCAGGCAACCTGAGCCATGCAGGAGATGTGATCCCCCCAGGCCTGGGCCTGAACTTGGCCTTTAGTGTTTGGCCAGGAGCTGACTTGCCGAATCACAAGCCTGGCTCAATTTGTGCCCTGGATTCCAAATCATCACAGCAACAGTTTCCCCTTTCTTTTCTTTTTTTTTTTTTTTTTAAAGATTTTATTTTATTTGTGCATACAGAACTGGGATACAGGCCAGAGATGTGGAGGGTGAGAGAATTCACCAGAGACAGAGTGGGGTGCAGAACAGGCAGATCAACGAAGTACACTGCTGAGGGGAGCAGCGGGCGGGTCAGGAGAGGTCTGCCACGCCATGTGGTCACCTCCGGGGCAGGCGGGAATCGAACTCATGAGGAAGCGGCCTTAGATTCTCAGTGCTGTGCTTTAACCCGCTGCGCCACCAGGGAGGGCCCCCCTTTCTTTTCTTTTTAAAAAAGATTTTATTTATTGATACACACAGAAATGGGGTACAGGCCAGAGGTGCAGGGGCAGCGGGAGGATTCCCCAGAGACAGAGTGGGGAGCAGAACAGGCAGATGGACGAAGTACACTGCTGAGGGGAGCAGCGGGTGAGACAGGTGAGGTCTGCTGTGCCATGTGTGTCAGCTCCGGGGCAGGAATTGAACTCGCACTGAAGTGGCCATGGCTTGGCTTCACAGTGCAGGGCTCCAACCTGCTGCGCCACCAGGGAGGGCCCCACTTACCCCCTTTCTAGTGTATTGACAAGAGTGAAATTTGAGTTTTGTCCAATAGTAATGTTTATGAGGACAGATAACTTGTGTGGAGCCCGAGTCCACAAGCATTAAGCCCCAAGTAGGAGGGCTCGCCAAACAACCTTCTCTGTAGCTTTGCTGCTGTTGAGGGGCAGGTTCTGACTGAGTCCCTGGACAAACGACTTCGTCTCCCTATGCTTCCAGAGGCCTTTCTGACCCCCACGCCTTTCTATGGTGGCTTCGTCCTTACCTCCAGCCTGTATTCCAAAGTCGAGCTGATTCCTGCGCACCTGGACAGTGAGGTCAGAATGGGGACATTGGCCAGCCCAGCCCACCGAGACAATAGATGTCCGAGGGGCACTTGAAAGGTGTGGGGGAGAAATCAGGGACAGGGAGGCGTGGGGGCTGCACCCTGGGTGCGAAGACAAGAGTTTGTTGGGGTGAAAGAGAGTGCAGCGTCATGGCTTCAGGGCCCCTCTGACAGGCAGTTCCCAGCCAGTATTTGTCTTCCAGGTCATGGATGGGAAGACGCCTCCATTCCAGCTCACTGTGGGCAAGTTGGAGCAAGCTCTGCTGGAGGCTCAGCTCAAAGTAAGGAGAGAATTGTGTCTTCAGGGCAGGCACTCAAAGGGGCTGAACAATAGTGATTCTAGAATGATGTTCCCAAGACTGTGGGAGCCTTCGAAGGAGCAGTGAGTGAGCATGTCCTCACAGGAGCCCTGAGCCCCAGCGCTTGCTCCGCTCCCTCTTTGACATCCTACCCAGACCTTAGTCAGGGGTTCTACAGTGGGAATCTTGACCCAACTCTTGACCATTGTTGAGATAGTTAGGAAGGATTTGAGCATGTTAAGGTATGTCTGGTTCTTCTTAGGGAAAAAAGGTCAGAGGCCTTCTGCTCATCAACCCTCAGAATCCCCTGGGTGATGTCTACTCTCCAGACTCACTGAAAGAATACCTGGAATTTGCCAAAAGGTATGAGTTCTATTCCTTGAGACCAGTTGAAATCCCACAAAGGGGTTCCCGTTGCTTGCAGTCAAAAGTCGGAACCAGAAATAATTGACCCTAAATATTCTCAGTGCATTGTATGCTCTAAAGTTATGTGCAATGAACTGAAATGAAGGCAAATGCCCTCACAGGCTTACCACTCATCTTTTTTTTAAAAAAAAAAATTCATTTAGGGCCCTCCCTGGTGGCACAGCGGGTTAAAGCACAGCACTAAGAAGCTTAAGCCACTTCCGCATGAGTTCTATCCCCGCCTGCCCCGGAGGTGACCCACATGGTGTGGCAGACCTCTCCCGGCCCACCCGCTGCTCCCCTCAGCAGTGTACTTCCTCAATCTGCCTGTTCTGCTCCCCGCTCTCTCTGGTGAATCCTCTCATCCTCCGCATCTCTGGCCTGTACCCCAGTTCTGTATGAATGAATAAATAAATCTTAAAAAAATTAATTATGCATACAGAACTGGGGTACAGGCCAGAGGCACAGGGGCAGTGAAAGGATTCACCAAAGACAGAGTGGGGAGCAGAGCAGGCAGATGGACAAGGTACACTGCTGAGGGAGCAGAGGGTGAGACAAGAGAGGTCTGCCACGCCACGTGGTCACCTCCAGGGCTGGGATCCAACTCACACTGAAGCAGTTGTCGCTAGCTTGCCGTGCTGCGTCCTAACCCATTGCACCAGCAGGGAGGGCCCTTACCACTCACTTTTGCCCACATACACACACCTACGGGACAATCAGTATACTTCTACTTTCCCACTTCTTATAGAGTAAGTACCTTTTCCCCAGTATCATTTCCCAACACTCAACCCAGGGGGCCACGGAAGACATCCTCAGGCCTTGTGGGGTGAAGACACCTCCCTATAGAACTTTCATATCCCATTCCTAAGATCATACTATTATCAGTTCTCTCTGGAGTCCAGGACATAATGCTATTAGAATAATCTTTCTTTTCAAGAAGAAAAACACAGATTCAAATTTCATAACTAATCCAGACCATTGCTGGCAGAGCATGGGAACAAGAAGAAAAATCCTGGAGGGTGTGGGCTAAAATTCAACAAAATCAGTTCAAATCCCAGCTCTAGCACCTGCTAATTGACAGAATGAACTTTTTATCTCGGAAACTTAAGTTTCTTCCTCGGCAAGATGGAGATCACAGTATAAATGAGTGGATGTGCTTCAGCTTAGGCTGCTAATGACACTACTGGACTCAGACCCTGAACAGAGCCCCCAACTGTATCCAAAGCTCTGGGCCATCCAGCCCTTTCCCGTAGGTTCTGCTTGAGGGTTGAGGGACTGGGAAAGAGGTTCTCATGAGTGTCTTCTGAATTCCTGCCAGGCTTAAGGGTCCCTTCGGCTACATCACCCACTTCTACCTTACCAAGCACCTTGGAAAGGTTGGGCGAGCTGCAGAGACACATCTGGTCCATAACCAGAAAAGAATCTATATCCAGAAAAGTCCAGAAAAGAGTCCTGATCAGACAGAGAACCTAGATATTGTTCTCTTTTGCCCCAACCTGCAGGTACAACCTACATGTGATTATCGATGAGATTTACATGCTCTCTGTCTTTGATGAATCCACCACATTCCACAGTGTTCTGAGCATCAAAAGGTGAGCTATCTCCATGTGAGTTGGGAATAATGAGAACCATGAGGTTGCTGCTTTGTAGGGTGAGTGCATAAGCCATCAACTTAACTGGATGCTGGTGGGATGAAAATGAATGAAACATCCTTTTTCCAAGTGTCTTCTCCTCTGAATGTCATTTTGTACATGAGAGAACTTGAGGGCAGGGCTGATGTGGACTATCAGAAGTCAAGATAAGGTCCTACAGAACCAGAAATGTCATGATAAGTAGAACATGGGAAGATAATAGAAATAGGGCAGAACTTTCTTAAGGGTAGTGCATGGCCCTAGAACAGGCAAGAAAAATGAAGAAAGGACAGAAGAAACAGCCTCACCGAAGCAGGGCAGTAAGAAATACGTGAGCACATTCTGGAAACAGTGGTGGCCCACATGCGTGTCAGCCAGCTGCCTGGAAAGGTGGCTTTGGACCCGTGTGGAAAGGCCTGGAGCTTGGGTGGGGTTCTGGACCTCACTCAGTGGGCGCTTGGGAGTCACCCCTCTAGCTCCCCGAAGACACCTTGTGTCTTAACTGTCTTAACTGTCTTAACTGGGGCAACTGTCTCTTGAACTTTGGGCCTGGTAGGTCCTGTGGTCGAATCCACTTTCTCTTTCCCCTCCAAGACCCTAGGCTGACCCTAGGATGAAGGTCTTCACCCTCAAATATTCCTCCATAATTTCCATTATATTGTCTCCTCTCCAGTTTGCCTGACCCTGACAGGACCCACATGATCTGGGGCACCAGTAAGGTGAGCCCCAGCTGCCTGTTCCTGAGCGGGAAGGAGGGGAAAGAGGGTGAGCCCAGGAGTAGGGGGGCAGGCACACCAGACATCCTGCCCCTACTTCTCTGCCTCTAGGACTTCGGCATCTCCGGCTTCCGCTTCGGCGTGCTGTACACCCACAACAAGGAGGTGGCCTCTGCCGTGAGCTCCTTCGGCTACCTTCACAGCCTCTCTGGCATCACCCAGTACAAGTTGTGCCGGCTGCTCCAGGACAGAGGTACTGACCTGCACCCCAGGCATCATGGCCGGCCCCGCAACCAGGGAGAATTTCCGGGTTTGCTTGCATCTCTGACAGGCACTGGACAAATACACTGAGACCCTGTTTGCAGTGTCAGTGTTAGCTGTGGTAGGACAGGAAGTTCAGAGGAGGCAGAATGCAGCCTGGATGATGGGACAGACGTACGTGGCGGAGGTGGTACTGGTGGTACAGTTGTGCAATGGGTGCTGACAGAGGACACAAGTGTACCCTAAAACGCAAGCTGGGCTTGCACTTCTGGCTGTTCTGGTATCTGGTTCTCTTTCCAGGAAAGGGTTAGTCAGTTGTATTCTAATTCTTGAAGGTGGGGACTTCAGAAATCAATTTTTACATGAAAGTCTATTTTCCTTCCCCCAAAGCCCTGCTCACTTCAGGGCAAAGATTACAACGAAATATGCTGACTCCTGGGTGTGAGTTAAGCTCTTCCAGCATGGCAGAAGGAGGCTGGCGCTTGCGTAAACTGGTGTGTCTGCGCCTGGGGCTCCTGGGGTCACCTTCCTTTTGCATCTCGAGTGAATGCCGGCGTCAGAGGGGACTTCTCTTTAGGACATCCTTCTTTCTTTCTTTTTTAAAAGATTTATTTATTTATTCATACAGAACTGGGGTACAGGCCAGAGATGCTGAGGGTGAGAGGATTCACCAGAGACAGAGTGGGGAGCAGAACAGGCAGATCGACGAAGTACACTGCTGAGGGGAGCAGTGGGCTGCTCAGGAGAGGTCTGCCTTGCCATGTGGTCACTCTGGGGCAGGCAGGCGGGGATCGAACTCATGTGGAAGTGGCTTTAGCTTCTCAGTGCTGTGCTTTAACCCGCTGTACCAGCGGGGAGGGCCCAGGACCTCCTTCTTTAATGCACTCTATTAACTCTATTAGGGTGGGTACCACCCTGGAGGATTTAAATGAAAAGCTGGGATATAAAGACAAAGTGATATAAACAGATAGCTGGCTTTAGAATGTTTGCTTTCAGCTTTGGGTGGGGAAAGTGGTGGCTAGGAGAAATCTACTGTCTCTGTCCCTACATGCTGTCAGGCCCTTTGGTATTTCGTGGAAGCCAAATTTCTACCCCCTTGAATGCTGGTTCTCAGCCTTAGCTCACATGGAATTACCTGGAGAACTTAAATACTAATGTGGGGGCTCTGGTCCCCCAAATTCTGACTTAGATCATCTGGGGATATTACCAGGGGATGAGGACTTTTAACACCTCCCCAGGTAGTTTTAGGTTTTTTTTTCTTTTTAAAGATGTATTTATTTATGCATATAAAACTGGGGTACAGGCCAGAGGTGCAGAGGGAGTAAGAGGCTTCACCAGAGACAGAGTGGGGAGCACAACAGGCAGATTAACAAAGCATACTGTCTGCCACGAATGGAACTCATGCTGAAGTGGCTTTAGCTTCTTGTGCTGTGCTTTAACCCACTACACCACCAGGGGGCGCCTCTATTTTGTTTTCAATACTGAGAGCAACTGGGCTGAAATTATCCCAGCATATAGGTTCCTAGGAGTCCATTGTGCAAAGTAAGGGACTCTGTGTATAATTGTCTAGTTAGACCCATTTAGGGGAGTACCTCAATTCCTTGCTTCAGTGATATAGCCCCAAAAGGAACACTCTTACTGGACTATTAGCATCCAGTGTCTCCACCAGAGCTGTAGGTAAGGGGGGACTGTGAGGGGTGTGGTTACCATCAGCTTGAAAGTAACAGCTAGAATTAGCTGGCACCAGCCCATGTCTGGAGCAGAAGCCTGTGACTGCTGTCTCCCCACCCATCCAGAATGGATTGACAAAGTGTACCTGCCCACAAACCGCTCCCGGCTAAGGACATCTCACAGGTATGTCACCAACAAGTTGCAAGCACTGAAGATTCCCTTTCTTAAGCGTGGCTCTGGCCTCTATGTCTGGATCAGCTTGAAAAAGGTGAGCCCGATGAGTGAACACAGGTGTTCCTTGGCACACCTGCCAGCCGGGTGGTGGGCTCAGCTCTCTCCCTCTGCCTCCCCTAGTACCTGAATCCGTGCACTTTCGAGGAAGAGTTGCTCCTTCACCGCCGCTTCCTGGACAACAAGTTGATACTGTCCCGTGGCAAATCTTACCTGTGTAAGGAGCCTGGCTGGTTCCGCCTCAACTTTGCAGAGAGGCACCTCCAGCTTGGTGAGTAGTGTCGGCACCTTGCAAAGCTGCCCGCCAATCCCTCTATAACCCGAGGCCTGAGTCTTCCTCTTTTGACCTTTCGCAGCCAGATGCCTTAGCTTCTCTGTCCCAACTGTTTCTACCTTCAGCTTTTGATTTAAGCTCCATTATATGAGAGCTTGAGACAGACCTTCAGGGGGGCTTGTTGTGTGTCTGCTATTGATCCGCTAAGTGGCTCCCAGCCCTGCTGGCTGTGCAGTGTAGTAGGTGAGGTGGCAGGTAGATGAGCACAGAAGACTCTTTACAGCTTCTGCTCTGCAGATTAAGGAGAACACGACACTCAGGTTCACAGCTGTCTATTGCTGTGCAGATACTGTCGTGCCAGCCAGGAGCACAGGAAAGAACCCTTAT